TTGATTTTGGTTTTTATTGTAGTACTTGTAGCTCAGTATTTGCTGCAAGATCTTCACTTTATACCTTAGTTCAAGTAAGGTATTTTTTATACTAATGTCAAACTCTGTCTTGTATTCCTCAGTCAGTCTTGATTGTTGTTTACTAACTTGTTGCTTACTAACTTGGTATTAGGTGACAAGAAATTAAGTTAAAAGTCAATACCTAAGCAAAAGCATAAAACCGCTATATCCTTTATTGTTAATATTAAGCAAGCATTTCCTCAGTGGAATAGGCAAGGATATTTTGTTTACACATGATAGAACCCAGCTAAAATTAACTTTGAAGTTTATTAGAACTTTATTGGTTTTAATTTATTGTTTTTAATATTTCTTAGAACTGTTTTAGAAGTCATATGAATGTGTATCTGGGAATAAGGAGTGTCTAGAACAGAGATTCAGTGTCACCAAGACCTCTTAATCACTCTTTATTAATGGTTAAATCCTGTTGATTTCTTCAAGGTCTCTTGAGTTTTTTCTCTACCACATCCACTAATTTAACTAGTTTAGGCTCTAATTATACTACATGTGAACAATAGCAGTGGATTCCAACCTAGCTCTGTCTCTGGCAAACTAAATCTTTCCCTGCCAAAGTCCATCTGGAACATTTTGTTACATGTATAATCTTCCCTAAGCCCTTGTAGTGTCAATCACTGCTCAACAGTTACTCTCAAATGCAGTCAAAAGTAGAGTGTAACACTTCCTACTAGAAACTAAGTGAAACTAGAGAAAGGTAAAAATACAAGATCGAACTTATTTTAGTTACTACAGATGCCTTCTGCTCTAATTAGGGTAACCTTGTATTCATTTTTGTTTCTGTACGTGTGCGATAGTCATTTCCTCTGACTTGAGTGACTTTTCTTTATCTGTCAGTTCTGTTACTGTTTCTTCACATTCAGTTAGGTCTCCAAATGTATTGTGACCAACCACTTTCAATTCTCCTCCGTTCTCTGCTTAGTCAATATTAGCAGTGTTGCTAAATTTTCCTTTGAGAAATGAAAAGTGAGTCACAGTTCTTTTTTTTTTTTTATTTAAAGGGAACTTTTTTATTGCTTTTTATGTACAGAAGACTCAACATTTAGCCCAGCTTGGTGGCCAGTTATTTAGCCTTTGTCTTTTCTACCTTGGCAGTGTGAGCTACTGACTTTGCATCTAGGATGTTGCCTCCCCAGTAACCGCAGATCTCATCATATCTGTCATGGTAATTGGTCCTGATGGCTTCCACCAGCTTGGCCAGAGCTCCTTTGTCTTCCAAGTTAACTTGTGTGAAGGTGACAGTGGTGCAGGTCTTCCTGTGGACCAAGTAGCCCAGCCTGGCCTTCCCCTTGATAATGCAGTGGGGAATCCCCATCTCACAACGCAGGACAGTCAGGACGACAACCAACTCAGGGGGATCCACAGCATGTGCAATCACTACCAACTGAGCCTTCTTGTTTCTGTTAAGTTGGTGACAGTATTAACCCCTGCTGGAAGGACAGACAGCCTCTTAATGGGGACATCCCCTTTGTCAGCAGCTTTCTTCTCAGCCCGGGTCAACAGTCTCTGTTTTCTTCTCTTTCTTCATCTTTGGTCTGTATTTATGGGTCAGCTAAAGCAGTTAAGTAGCTCTTTGGCAGTCCAAGACATGGGTGAACTGGTTAATCCCGTGAGGCTCTTTCAGACATTGATAGAGACTAGCCCTTTGCTGCTGCAGTTGGATGTAGCGGGGCATTTGACAAAGCAGGTGGGGTTCCTTTTGGGCTAGGTACCCTGTCTGATACCAAAACTCTTGAGCCTCTTCTCAAACAGCAGGTTGACCACCTTCTTGGCTTCCTGCTTCCTCATGACAGCAGGGGTTGGGGCCACCTTCTTCCCTTTAGCCTTCTTTCCTTTTGGCATCTTGGATGGCTGGAAGAGAGCTCAAGTGAATCATACTTCTTAAATGCTTATCTAGGAGGAAAAATTCTTGACCTAACCATGGAAATGAGACATTCCATGTTCCCCATAGTAATTTTAAAAAAACCCAAAAAAACAAAACAAAAAAACTGTTCCATGCAGTTAGTATGTCACCTATCCTTTTGACATATAACTGACCTGGGTTAACAGATGTTAGTGATAAGCCTTATTAACAATAATAATCAAACTTTATTACCTCTCACTGGAAAGGAAATTTGCAGGTATCTTAGACTGTAAGATAAGTGGTTCTCAAGGTAGTCTCATACCAAGAGCATCAGTATCACCTGGCACATATAAAGTGCACATATAAGTGCAGATACTCAGGCCCAACCTCTGCCCTACTATAGTAGAAACTTGGATGGGGCCCAGCACTCTGTTTTGATAAGCCCTCAAGGTGATTCTATTGCCCTCGAATATAAGAAACCAAAGCTAGAAAGCCCGCAGACATTTGATTGATAACCTACCTACTTTGTATGTTCTTTCAAAGTATCAGTTAACTCACTTTTAAAAATCAGACGTAATAGCAGTCTATATTAGGGAAGTTTTAAAGATGAGATATTGATGAAACAAACTCTTCATGAATTCTTAAGGTCTGTGTAAATATTAGTTGCAAACTTAACGCTGAAGCTTTTTTGGTGCGTTCTTGTTCATAGTAGTGACTGCCATTGTCAGACCTTCTAATTTGTGGTATAGAATGAGTTTATGGAAAATACGAGCTGGGATTAGGTCTAGGTATTATAGAAAAGTCTCTCAGGGCATGAGGTTTCTTTCTGCTTGGTTTTCTTACTTGTACATAAAGGTAATAAACTGTCCCACTGGTGCTTTTAAAGATCTGTTGAGATTGCATAATACTCTTCCTTTGCTCTTGTTCAGAAGAGAGAGAATAAGATAGTGGAATCAAAGCACTTATCACAAATGTGCATATAGAAGACACTTTAGGGCGGCTGTTTGTTATTACTGTGTATACAACCAACCTTTTCTGTAGCTTTCTTTTATTCTACTTTCTTGATTTTGAAGTTCTGTTTTAGTTCTTAAATCCTGATTTTCTAATTCCAAATTTCTGTGTCCTGTACCAGGTCCATGGTACGTGGATCTCTGCATGGATTAGATCCTTGAACACCTCAAGCACTGTTTGTGTTATTGCACTTTGAGAAACACAATAGGAGATGCCAGTTAAGTATGCCAGCTAGTCATTCAGCTGGAGTGGTAGTACCTTACCTGTTACAGTTACCACTTTTCAAGTTGTGGCTGTTGGGGGTCACCAGGGCTCTCAGAATTGATTTCTCTTTTAGAGATAGATTCACAAACTAATATATAGCTAGAATCTCCATTTACAATGTGAAATACCCGTGTTAAAAATAATTTTCTTCCTACCTCTTTCTATAAGAAAAATTTTTCAAATTATAAACAGTAGTTGCTTCCTGCACACAAATTCTGAGTGATGAGAGTTAAATGTATGATCTAAGTACTTAGTGTCATCAGGTTATATCATCCAATCTGATTTATCCATCTCTATTGGAACACTGTATGTAACACATGGGCAACTTCTTTCTGTCCATGAATAATGCTGCAAGACTGCTGGAGAAATACAAAGCATGTTTTGTTTCATGGTTGCCCTTCTGGTAGGTTCAAAACTGCCTATTAAATTTCTCTGAGAGAGGTGGAGCGGGGGTTGTAGAAGGAGGGTGTGCGTGAATGTGTGTGTAATATGTTCAGGTGATTTGGATTACATTTTTTTTAATGTTTATTTATTATTGAGAGACAGAGAGACACAGAGTGTGAGCAGGGGAGGGGCAGAGGGGGGGAGACACAGAATCTGAAGTAGGCTCCAGGCCCGAGCTGTCAGCACAGAGCCCAATGTGGGGCTCAAACTCACAAACCGCGAGATCATGACCTGAGCCAAAGTCGCACGCTTAACTGACTGAGCCACCCAAAAACCCTTACATTTTCTTTTTATAGTCAAAATAGTCTCCTATTTCCCTGATACTTTATATCACTTGATTACTGATTATTAGAGTACCTTCTATAGAACACTTGATTTCATTTCATTGCATATGGATATTTCTTTATTTCACTCTCAGGAGGTATGTTTTTTATGGGAATTACTGGCTGAAGCAGTATTCTAACGTACTGAAGAGTGAGTATAGGCTTTTGGAATTAGACCTGAATTCTGGCTCTACTATTTGTACCCTGTATCATTTTGGGGGAAGTTGCTTAATCTGTGAGCCTGAGTTTCTCATCTGTGAGATGGGGTAATGTAACAGTTTTGTAAAATAGATTGTAAGGATTGCATATGACATGATTTTACATGATTATAGGTAACCCTAGAAAAGAATGTATGACTAATGTAATCCAGTATTATTCTTATATTATCATTATTGTTTCTTTTAATGTGTTTGTTTCTTTTTGTTTTATTGTTTCTTATTGTTTCTTTTTTTTTTTTAATTTTTTTTTTTCCAACGTTTATTTATTTTTGGGACAGAGAGAGACAGAGCATGAACGGGGGAGGGGCAGAGAGAGAGGGAGACACAGAATCGGAAGCAGGCTCCAGGCTCTGAGCCATCAGCCCAGAGCCTGACGCGGGGCTCGAACTCCCGGACCGCGAGATCGTGACCTGGCTGAAGTCGGACGCTTAACTGACTGCGCCACCCAGGCGCCCCTCTTATTGTTTCTTTTAATTTTCCCACTCCCAAATTGTATATGGTACTCCTAAGTGTGAGTATCTATACATAGTGTTAACTGTCAAGCTACATTTATTGATCGCACAGAAGAACGGTTCTAATTCTAAGCCAGTGTTACTTTTTTTTGTTATTGTTAGCAATTAGAATTGATCAGTCTCTTACAGAAATTCTTGAAAGGCTAGGATTTTCCTAGGCTTCAGAATTATTTTGGCTCACTTTGTATGATTTGAGAATTCTCGATACAGGTCTAAAAGTTTTCTGTGTGGAATGAAGGCTGTAGATGTGTGAATTACAGGAAAATGAAATAATCATTTATTCAGAAGTTAACTTTTTATTTGGTCTATTTAGGAAGGAGACATGCCAATTCATGAACTTCTCAGTCTTTATGGTTATGATAGTACTATTCGACTCCCTGAAGAAGATGAGGAGGAGGAGGAAGAGGAAGAAGAAGGTGAAGACGATGAAGATGCTGATAATGATGATAACAGTGGCTGTAGTGGGGAAAATAAAGTAAGGTTATACACAGTAATTCTTAAGATTGTAGTCTTTATTCTTGTTGCAGTAGTAATTTATTAATATTGGAAGTTGCCTGTAATCTACTCCTGAGAAAGTAATAGTTTTATCTGTGTCTTTGTGCATTTCTTTTCAGTGTCTCTTGTAAGTAAATTTGAACTAACTTAAAAAAAAAATACTGTTTCTAAGTAATAAAATCTAATTGGTAGTTCTGTATTCAGTTTTCTTATTCTGTTTTGAAATAATTTGATTTATAGAGAAGCTCAAAGATAGTATAGTGTTCCTATATACTTTTTACCTGACTTCCCTGTTTATATCTCATGTAACCATGGTATATTGTCAAAAGTAAGAAATTGGCACTGGTACTATTAACCATATTAATTAATTAAACTATAATTAATTAAACTATAGACGATTCAGATTTTGCCAGTTTCTCCACTAATGTCCTTTTTTCTGTTCCAGGATCCAACCCAGAATACCATGATGAATTTAGTGTATTTATTTTAGTCTTCTAGTTGTATTTGGAATACTGTAACCTTTCATCTGCAACAGTTTTCCTTACATCTTAAAGAAATTTAATTTTTTTATTCTACAGGAAGAGAATATAAAGGACTCATCAGGTCAAGAGGATGAAACTCAGTCTTCCAATGATGATCCGTCACAATCTGTTGCTTCTCAAGATGCCCAAGAAATAATCCGGCCACGTCGATGTAAATATTTTGATACAAGTAAGTATCACTGGTTGCTGTGTGGATAGTTTTTACCATTTAATACATGATGGAAAATTCCATTTCTTGTTCACTCATCTGTTTGAATTCATTTACTCTGAAATCTCGCTGAACAGTGTTTAGGTTTTGTTCTAGGCTATTAGTTTAGCAGTGCTAGGGCTCTTTTTGTCCGTGAGTAGATTGCAATAATTGTTGCATCACTGTACTACTTGATTTTGAACGTGTTCCTTTTTTTCCCCCCAACGCTTCTTTGAATTTGGTTTGTTTCATGGTCATCTTTTTTTATTTCTCCTGGTATTTTCCTCGGTGTTAATTTTCTACTTTCTTTGCCTTTTAGCCTTTTTTACCTATATTCATAAATACTGCTTTTTTCTAATCCGTGGTTCCTAGTTCTAAAGAAGTGGTTTACTCTTGAAATGATAATATGTTTTATACGGAAGATCTCCTAATTTTACTACAGTTGTAATCTAGCCACAGATGACCAGTAGTTGAGACATTTAATGTATGTATCTTGAATATTTGCATGCTTCATTTGCTCCATGGTATTTCATTCTAAGCAGGAATCATTACCGTAGGTGACAGCTCTTTGATAAGAAAAAGGCAAGCATTAGTGTTATTGGTTCAGACTTGTGGTCTAAATTTCTATACTTTATTTAAAAGACAGAAAAACACTCGAAGAACAACCACCTGTCATGAAATGTGTGGTAATGTAATAACTGATTAAACATGGCTACTGCTTCGTGTGAAGGATTTCTGTTACATACTTAGTTTGCAAGTGAATGTAGTGCTGCTAATATTTTATTGTGAGTTTTACGCACTGAGTCTGGGTGGCTCAGTCAGTTAAGCGACTGACTTTGGCTTAGGTCATGATCTTGCAGTTCGTGGGTTCAAGCCCTGCGTCAGGCTCTGTGCTGATAGCTTGGAGCCTGGAGCCTGCTTCAGATTCTGTGTCTCCTTCTCTCTCTGCCCTCTCACACTCAAACATTAAAAAAAAATTTACTGTGAGTTTTGATCAAAGATCTGGTCCACTTGAAAAGAAAGTGTATCACTATAAAAAGAGATGGGTTAATGAAATTACTGTGTTTTAAGTTTGGTGAAAATCTGGTGTTTTTCCTTTTTCTTCTTAGATAAATTGCCAAAGTTTGGTTAAAAGTGGGATGCTAAGTGACTGCATTCTAAAACAATATTTGTTTCATGATCTGGTATTTCAGTTGTGATGCATGTATGCATGAAAGCTATGTATATATACTGCCTATCTTAGCTTTTCCATAGGAAGATTTAATTTCTGAATGTAATTTACCCTTTTGAACTTTGTATGCCATTTTACAGTTGAGAAGATGCTGAAACATGTAGTAGGTTTTAGATTTCCTATCCCAGTATGTAAATACAATTTTACTCCAAATGTAAACAAACGGCAGCTTGCCTGCTCTCAAGAAAACAGAGGTTGAGGAGAATGGAGGTCTTCATACATAGCCTCCCTTCACACTCCCACAGAGTGTTGCTAAAAAGTTCTCAGTATCTCAAGGAGCACTGATTGGAAACCACTGTTTTTGTTTTATCCAAATTCTCGTTTTATTAGGGAAGAAATTGAGCTCCTATAATTCTGTCACCAGAACCAGAATTAGGTTCAGGAACAGATTATCTTGACTCTAATTAAACTTTTTTTTTTTTAATTTTCGTAGGAAATAATTGTCTAAGGATGCGGTTTTCTAAGATTGAAATTATCCTAGGTTTGTGGATTGTTTTCCTGTTTTAAACTCATAGGGTATTATTTGATTAGAAATATCTTGGCCCTATTCTGCAGATACTTTCAGGCATACTTAAATGTTCGATGGTAGATGTAAAAATAACATACAGCTAGATATACAGATGTGGACAGGAAAAACAATCATTTTATAATATTGTTTTATTTATTCTAGATAGCGAAATAGAAGAAGAATCTGAAGAAGATGAAGATTATATTCCATCAGAAGACTGGAAAAAGGTAGTTAGAGCCATATTTTCCCCAAGTTTAGGTAAATTAACATTAAAAACAAGTATAATTATTATTTTACTAGCTCTATATATTGATAAAGTTGAGGTAAGCCCTTTTTTAAATGTTTGGAAGATGTTCAGATTTCCTTTTAATATATCAAAGTAAGAAAACTTATTTTTTTACAAAATAAAATAATGGCATAGAAAGAATTGGACTCTTTTTGAGCAAATCCATCTCAAACCAAGAACAGAAATTGAAATTTCGAGCTAGTGCCGATTTAGTTTTTTGTTGCACTGTAAAAAGTATCACAAGTGAATGTTTTTTTAAACTTGGGAAAGCAGTTGAGGCTTTGGTTTTGTTAAAGTGGCTTTGTTAAATAATTTAAATTGTAAGTTTTTCCATCACATATTAATGTTGATATTTACAATTCAGAGTATGTTGGATGAAGGGACACATTTGAGCTTCTCTATAGCTATCCATAATAAGTTAATTTCTAAAGTGAATCTAAAGATTATATATTGACATAAGTTTTTAATTATAAAACTATATAACTGTACAACTTAATTTTACAGTAAAGTAGAAGAATTAAATTTAAGCTGTTGCAAAGCAGTTGAACTTACTAGGAAAATATGTCAAAATATCATGTAGAATTGATTAGAGCAAATCATTTATATAGAAGGATGATACCATTCTTTCTTTTTGTTTTTCTTTTTTTTTTTTTTCCTAATGTTTCTTTTTGAGACAGAGCGAGCAGGGGAGGGGGCAGAGAGAGAGGGAGACACAGATCCAAAGCAGGTTCCAGGCTCTGAGCTGTCAGTACAGAGCCCGATGCGGGGCTCAAACTCGCAAACCACAAGATCATGACCTGAGCCGAAGTTGGCCATTTGACTGAGCGACCCAGGCACCCCTCTTTTTTTTTTTTTTTTTTCCTTTAATGTTTATTTTGAGAGAGCCTGTGCATGCCAGGGGGAGGGACAGAGGGAATCCCAAGCAACTTTCAACACAGAGACATGGGGCACAGTCTTCTGAACTGTGAGATCATGACCTGAGCCAAAATCAAGTGCTGGATGCTCAACCAGCCGAGCTCAGGTGCCCCGAAATGATGTCATTCTTACTGAGACCTATCACTGTGTTTTGCTGTTAAAAATTACATTGAGCATTTTTTGCTGTTCTTTTTCCTAGGTCTGATTTTAAATTTAGTGCATAAACAATCATTTCTTTGGAAGCAGAATAGCTCTAAACATCAAAATCAGTGGACTGGCTATACTTTTTAAGTCATGATTGTTTAATTATTTAATTAGTTAATAGTTTTGAGTCTTCTTGTGGCTTTGTTTTTTTGTTTGCTTTTTTTAAGTTTAAAGTTTTTTGGTTTGGGATGCTTGGAGCAGACTTAAAGAGCTGACACCTTGGTAATTAAAATAAGAGAACATCTTATACTTAAAGAGTTTCTATTAGGAAGAATGAAGTATTCAAATGAACTTGGAGTGGGCTCCCAGGTATTGTGGGCTTCAGCCACAGTTGGTCCATTTCTGGGTGTCCAAGGAGCTGTTTAGAAGACAGTGATACCATTGTGAGTTAGAATGGTAAGGGAAGTTTAGCTCAGTGCAGTATGTATTAATTTGAGTGAAAGATGAATGAAAGATGGGGCTGAAGACAGAAAACAAGGATCACAAAAGTTACTTATTATTTATGTGACCTATTTGGCCAAATGTTCTTCAGTCCAGTTTTTTCTGATTCCTACACCATGCAGAAATTATGAAAACTAAAAACCTTGAAAGTCACCTTAAACTACTACTTTCTACCATATATTCAAATTTATATCTCTTTTCTCCAACTTAAATTGTTTTTATGTCTGAAGTGTGCAGTAGAGTATTTGAGTAAGTGTTGAATTATTATTTTTTTTTTTTAGTGAAGGAACAAAAGCTTAAAAGAGGGACAACATGGGGGAGTATTCTCTTCCTCAGGAAATTACGTAATAAAACAGGCCACAGTAAATCCAGACTGTTTTATTTTAGAATGATTTAGACTGTTGTAGTAAAAATTTTCAAGATTCTGAATCCTCTTCTAAGGCTTGTAAGACACTAAATTTTTCTAGGAATTGGGACAGAGGAGACAGCTTTGAAATCAAATTTGAGTCCAAGTTACAGCCCTAGAACTTAAGAGTGCATTCCTGAGGAACTTAATTGTTTTGAGTTTCATCTCACATAAATACAGAAATAAAAATTTTAGCCTTGTTGAAGTTGGTGAGAATTTAATGAAAATTACACATAAGGTACCTGGTACATAATGCTCCTAAGTGCTATTTCCCTTCCCTACAGATTAGCATGTAAAAACGTTCTGAACTCAATAGGGAAAAGAGGTCGTCTTATTTTTACACTAGTCCAGAAGTTCTCAAACCTGGCTCCATGTTTAGAATCATTTGGAGAACTTTTAAATACTGATTACCAGGGCCTTTATCCAGAGATTACAATTTAGTTGGTCTGGAATGGATCCAGGCATTAATATTTTTAGAAGTGCCTGAGACAGGGAAGGGTTGATAACTTGACTGTCTATTCTCTGGTAAGCATTGATGAGTAAAGTTAAAAGAGGCACAAGAAGTGATAGTAGGGTACTCTTTTTTTATAATCAAAGACATAAAATTCACCTGTAAGAGTAGAGAAAACTTGTATGTGAATTCTTCTTAGAAAATTGACTGGTTTTCCTATGCAGGTTTAGCAAAAAATTAATTGCATAGAGTATGTCTTTGAAGTTATACTAGAAAAAATGAGATCGTGATATCAATGGGTTGACAATAAGAGGAATTTTTTCAAATCCTAAGAGTTATTTCAACTGTTATTTAAACTGGTAAACTGTCACCTGAAACTTGTACCTTTTCTGCCTACATCTTCATTTTGAAAATGCAGTAGATTCAGTCTTAACATTTAGCCACCAGATAAAGGAGGGTCTATAATCTTGGTCCCTCTGTTTTGTAATATCTCATCGGTGATGATCTCCAGTTATCTTTCTGAACAGCCAGCTTCCCCTAACCTGTGATTTTACATAGATTTGATGACTAAATTTCCTAAAGTAAGATTTAATTTTGTTTTGGGGAGGTTACTTTTTTCATTTTGTATTGTTTTGTGAAAGTCAGTCACTAACCTACTTATCCATGTGGGCTTTCATCCATTTGACCTCTACAGAGCTTTATACAAACCCGTTTTTCTTTACCTTGAATCTGTGGTTCTCAGATAAGAGTGTATGTCAGAATCACCTGCACAGCAGCTTGCTGAGTCCCATCCCCAGAGTTTCTAGTTAGTAGGGCTCAGGTAAGAGCTGAGCATTTGCATATCTAACAGTTTCCCAAGTGACTCTGATGGTGCTGATCCAGGGACCATAGTTTACAGTGTAAATACCTTAATATATCTGAATTTGCTTTTCTGTTTTTCAGAGTGTTTGCAGTTTGAATTATAAGAACTCATTTTTACTTCTTTTTCTCCATATTTTGAAGTAGTTTGTATTCACTGTGTATATTGCATTACACCCCATTATTATTACTAATATTTTCATCCAATCATACCCAAGCTCTTTATTATTAACTCATTCATCCTCACAATACTCCTCTGAGGTAGTTAATTGGTTGTATCTTTTATGACAGAGAAACCATGAACAGTTTACCTAGGAAGATGGTAAAGTTAGAAAATGGATATAAAATCTGTGTTACTAGATCTTACTAATGTGTTATGTTATTTCTAAAATAGGAGATTATGGTGGGCTCCATGTTTCAAGCAGAGATTCCAGTTGGCATTTGTAGATACAAAGAAAATGAAAAAGGTGGGTTAATTAGTAAAGTTACATAGCTTGAATTTATGCTTTTGAAGTGATGAACTGTTATTTTATAATGGAATGAGACCAGGACAGTTTGTTACCCCATTGATTTATGAAAGAAGACCCTTCATTATCTCTGTAAGAAGAAAATGTTTCTGTTTTTCCAGTTTTGTTCTTAGAAAAAATTGAATGCCTTTTCATACTGAGTGACTTAAAACATCTCAACTTTTAATTTTGTTTTTCATATTTTAATTTCCCTGGATAAATCCTTTATAACCTTTATAAATTAAATATAATAGGTTGTTTTATGTCAGTGGAAGCTGTTAGGTTTAAAAAAACTTAAGTACATAATGACCTAAAAAGCTTAATGGTAAGCTTTGAAACTTTTAATATCACTAAAATTGAGTACTTTAATATTTGTTTATTTGTAAAATAATTTGGGAAAACAACTTGTATACTTAAATTTTACATGATTTTTTGTATCATTTTATATAAAAATTCCAAGTCGTAAGTACTTAAACTTCTAGTAACATAAAATGCTTGAGGTCTTAAGTCTGTTTTAGATTATTCAGTTGGGGTGAGTTCCAGAAAGAGTGTTGTGGGTGTGTTTTTAATGAGTTCATGTATAGTATGACATCAGTCAGTGTTAGAAATCTTTGTTCATTTCTTTTATTTCAGTTGTTGTCTTCACATTTCAGCTTACATATGCAGAGCCTTTTGGAGTTGCAGAAGACCTTTGTTTTCCTTCTAGTGTTCTCTCCAGAAACTTCCTTTATAATGCACCTGCTTTCAGGGCAAGCAGTAGGTAGAGGCAGTTAAGAGAACACCACAGGCCAGTAAATTCTAGTGACAGCAAAAATGTTTTAACACACCAGCAATAGCTTGTACTTACTTTCAAGTTAATTCCTGCAATATACAGGAACATTAAAAGTACAATATGGAGTGACTTTGTTATATAGTAAGATTCTATACATAGTTTTGTGAATACATTGGAGTTGTGTGCAAAAATAAGTGAACCATTGACATTTGTATTTATTTTTGTAACTGAATTTTAAATGTTATGCTTTGCTTATGTACTATATAATGATTAGCACATGTTCACCATTGAGTTCTTTCTCCAACTAAAGAGCTGAAAGTTAGACCTTTGTTCTAATTTATTTATTTTTTTTTTAAGTTTTGACTATGAAAAATAGTAGTGTCTGTCAGAAAATTTCGTATTTTGTAGGTGGGTAGGAAAATATTTTGGTTTTACATATGGCAGGTTAGTGTTAGGGCTTAAGGGTAGTTTTAATTAGCTCTTAATATGTTTTATGTTTTAACATGTTTGTATTGTCCGATATAGAAAATAAATGATCTTTAACTTTCGTTGTTTTAAATTTGGGTTTGATGCTTTCAATTTTATTGTAATTTTAGAAAGCAATTATGCATAATTATTTTTTCCCGGAACAGATACGATTTACAAATTTTACTCACCATGAGAATTCAAGCATTGTAGATGGTGTGAGGATCCGACTAGATTTAGCAAGGGGATCCTGCTTTAGAGGGGTCACTGTAGTATAGGTTCTTTCCTCAGTTTTGTATTTCTAGTAATTCATACTTCTGTCATATTACCCAGAATTTGTCACCACTTAGGGTACCCTGTGCACACAAACCAAACTCATGTGAAACTTAGGTAAATTACATTGTTAGGAAAAAACTGTTAAAGGGATACTGAAGATTAGTGCATTCTGTTCCTTCTAGGAAAAAGTTTGCAAGATATTTTTCATTGGCTTGGTGAGCACACATTCAAGAGGGAGAACATTTGGTTGGAGTGATTTTGATTAAAAAAAATGCCACAAAACTTTGATACCTTGATACCTTCACTGTAGGAATTATTTGATAAATGGATTAGAATTTTTTCATTGATACAAGGAAACCCTATTACTGAGTATCCTGGAGAGATACTGATGATTTTTTTTCTCTCTGATACCTGATTTCTTTTTTACTAGACTCCATGCAACATATATATTCCTCATCAGCTATCATTTCTTTTTTCTTCTTTTAATTTCTGAGTATTTATTTTTGAGAGAGAGCACGCACACAAGTAGGGAGGGGCAGAGAGAGAATCTCACAAACTGTGGGATCATGACCTGAGCTGAAACTGAGTTGACAAGCTTAACCAGCTGAGCCACCCAGGTGCCCCTCAGTTATCACTTCTGTTTCAGTTATATAAACAAGATTTGTTACAGTCACGTTAAATTCCTCTTTGAACCTGTATCTGTTGTTATATAATCTCAACTACACTACTACAATTTTCTTAAATTTATGTAAATTAGCAGTTTACTCAGTGCAGTGTATTGTAATCATTTGTTTATTTTTTGCATCCTTAATACCTGGTATGATTCTGTTACATAGGCACTTAGTAAACATTTGGTGGCTGAGGTATTAGGTGGGTGCAGAATAATGTTGACAAAGCCAATACGGAGTCAGTAAACTTTGATCAGTATATAGGCATTTGGCCTTGGACATGTTTACTTCCTTTTCTCCTCAGTATAAAATAGCTGTAAAAGAGCATTTATTTACACAGCCTATCATGAGGATTTACATAGGATATTTTCACAGGTAGCCTTAACAGCATATACATTGTAAGTACTCAGTGAGTGACATTAGTATTCAATGGATGATTAATCTTACTCATTACAGTTAGGTTTTATTTTTCAGATGTTCAGAAACTATCAGCTCATGCTGTTTTACTTACAATTGGCAAAAACCCTCTTCAGTTAGCTTCAGCAAAAAAGAATTTACCTGATTGCTTAACTGGAAAGTTCTGGGTGGCCTGGCTTCAGATAAAACTGAATTTGGGGGTTCTTCTGATATCAGCTGTCCCTCTCCTTTCCCTCTTTCCTTTATTACAAGACAGGCTAAGATGGCTGCTGGGAGCTCCTGGCTTACGCTTTACACTGTCCCTGTAGCCAGAGAACCAGCACAGATGAAAACTTCTGTATCCACCTTCGCTCCAGCAAAAGTCCTAGAGAGAATCTGTTAACTTTGTTTGAGTCATACTCAGCCAGAAGTAATTACTGTGACCAGAGAGAAGAGTGACTCTTCTGGTTTGCCCTGGCTCATTTATCTGTTCTTGGGGCTCCAGGGTGTGATGTCAGCCTCACTCAAATGGAAAGGCTTTAATTCCCAAAGATGTGTTGTAGAAATGAAAAGCATGATTTTTCAGTTACGTATTTTATTGTTTCTTCCATATACTAAACTGAATGAACACTGCACCTTTTGTGATAAGACTGAATTGAATGCCACTGACCATCTTGGAACACACACAGAGGACTGCCACCGCCTCCCCCTACTAAGAATTATCTGCCCAAAGTGTCAGTACTGCTGAGATTGAGAACCCTGGACTAGGTTGATTAGAATTAGTTGGGCTACTTAGGGGGAAAAGGGTTAAGAGAAAGGAGCCAAGATACCTACTTCCCAGTCTAATTTTCATGCTTGCATGACATGAGTTTTAGAGTAAGGAAATGATGGCTAGGAGTTTGGAAGCAGTGATAGCAAAAGACTGCATGAATCTTTGTTTCTAATGAACATTTGACATATTATTGATTCTGAAGTTACTTACGAAAAAATGTACACATGCATTATCCTTAGTTGATGATAATGTTGAAAAGGCAGTTCATTTAGCCTGTACATATAGGAAAGGCTCAGCTAAACAACTTAAAATTTATGTCATTAATCACAGTGTGTCCTTTTAAGGACATGGGGTAAACCTCATTATACCATAGCTGATTATGGGCTGGCATTTTCATCCTCATGATACATTGATTACATTGAATTTTTACTTCGGCATTAAAAAACAGAGTAACACTTCTTACGGAAACTGAAAGTGAATAAATATAAATTTATTCATGGGGGATTAATTTCCCAGATTTGTGGTGGTGGTTTCTGGACTTTCTACACACCCCAACCACCACCACACACACTGAACTTTGTTAACTTATTGTGACAACCCATTTTATTTGAGCTTGATTTGTTACTTAAAATTCCATAATAAGCCCTTTCCTGGGTAACTCGAATATACTAGGTGTGTTCCTGCCTTCAGAATGTTTTCGTTTACTTATAATCACATGTGAATTATATCTCCCATAATATAAAGTGGATATATTTGTGGTTGCTTTTTTAAAAATTCTAACATCTAGGCTTGGTAGTTGATTTACACAACAAGAGATGTTATTTCTCTTCTGTATTTTATCCTGTGTTTTATCGTAGTGGTGGATTTTTGATTTTCTGAACTCTTGGCATTTTGTTCTGCAGCACACATTTAACAAAAGTTAGCTGTTGTTGCCTGTTTTATTTAGATCAGGGTCAAAAGTCATATTTTATTTGGAGTGTAAACTTAAGTGGAAAATAATTTGGTCTGTTTCTGGAACCAGTAGACAGTGTGATTTATTCTCTGTGGAAATGCTGATTGTTCTCATCTGTGGTTATTTTTTAGTATGTTGTCACTGTATAAAATGAGGTGTTGTATTCTCAGGGTCAGCCTGTCTAGCTGTCTTGTCACAGTTCTAGGGGTCTGGCTTGTCATTTGGCGCCATCTGGTGATGTTTGTGTACTCAGCTTAGACAGGACATCTCTGTATCCTGTGGCAATTTGCAACTTAACAGAATGATTCCAGAAGTATCTTTCAGGTCACCTGTGCTTGTTTCATAGGCCCACTATGGGCGTATTTAAGTGGGAGAACACTGGGGACTCAGGGACGCACCACCTTCCATCTTTCTTAGGACTTCTTGTAAGGCCTTGTCCGCCCTCCATCCATCAGTCTCAGGAACATGAAAACTGTAGTCTTCCCCACTTCCCGCTTCAGTGAACAGAGGCTAAGCAGACAACAAAAATCAGTAGTCATATATCCAGATTCACTTTGTGATGGTAGTTTTATTGTATTTACAATTTAGAGTTTCACTAAGATTTTACCAGCAGGCTAGAGAAGGAATGAGGTTTACTAAGGAAAATTTTCTAGAGATTATCCTTATACTTTATTTTTTTTTAATTTTTTTTTTTTAACGTTTATTTTTGAGACAGGGAGAGACAGCATGAACGGGGGAGGGTCAGAGAGAGAGGGAGACACAGAATCCGAAACAGACTTCAGGCTCTGAGCTGTCAGCACAGAGCCCGACGCGGGGCTTGAACTCACGGACCGTGAGATCATGACCTGAGCCGAAGTCGGCCGCTTAACCAACTGAGCCACCCTGGCGCCCCTATCCTTGTACTTTAAAGAAGAGTATCTATTTTGGGAAACAGAAAAGTAGAACGATATTTTAAAGTGTATGTGTGTAGTGGAGGTGCAGAGTGAGACAAGGTAATTTATATGAAAACACCCAACATAGTGCCCCATGCATAGGAGATGCTTAATTAGCTGTTAATTCCTTTCTTTAAAAAAAAAAAATTTTTTATGTTTATTTTTGAGAGAGAGCGAGCAGGGGAAGGGCAGAGAGGGAGGGAGACACAGAATCTGAAGCAGGCTCCAGTCTCTGAGCTCTCAGCACAGGGCCCGACATGGGGCTCGAACTCACGAACCGTGAGATCATGACCTGAGCCAAAGTTGGACGCTTAACCAACAGAGCCACCCAGACACCCTGCTGTTAATTCCTTTTTTTTTTTTTTTAAATAACACAAAGAACTTTGACACTGTTGGTTATCCTCTGTCTCTTAAATACAGAGTTTTTCTTTAGCTGGTTCCTTCCTACTGGCATTTAAATGATTGTCTCTTGTCTCTTATGTTTAAAAATCAATAAAACCAAAAACTTTCTTCAGCTCTACCTCCCCTCTGGCTGTACCTGTCTCTCCTCTCTTAAAACCAAACTTTTTCAAGAGTCCCTACTTTATTTCTTAACCTTCCATTTACTCTTCAGTCCTCTCTAGTGGGGCCTCAGCTTCCATTTCTGCACTGAAATGGCTCTTAAAACATTCCCCTCCTTGTTAGTAAGCCTGTTGTACCTTTTTCAGTTGTTACACTGTTCATTGAAAAGCATTTAACCAGTCTAGCACTCCTTGAAGCATTTTCTTCCCCTAGCAGTGATGGTGTCACATTTGTTACTTTTTCTCTTTTGATTCTTCCTTGTTTTTTTTTTGTCTGTGTTCATCTTCCTGTCAGTTACATTTGCACAGGGCTCTCATCTTAGGTTTTTCCTCCTTTCCTTCCACTTTTTAAATTGTGATGAGATTTAGGCTCTTGTCTTACTATAATGGAAATTCTGATGAAAGTGAAATGCTTTTTTTAAAAACGGAAAGACTCTTGTTTTATGAAAATGATTTATGGTCATTATATTTTCAAACTTCATAGAAAAATACATAAAAGAAAAAATTACCCCAAACCTTACCACCAAGAAATAAGCAGTGTTAACATTTGGTGAGCATTCTTTTAGACCTCTCATTTCAAAAATAATAGTTGTAGCTAACATCCATTGAACCTTAATAATGTGCCAGAATTGTTTTAGAGTACTTTAAATCTTTACAACCCAATATGATAATGTTGTTATCCCCATTTCACAGATGATGCAGAGAGAAGAGAAGTAACTTGCCCAAGGTCATATAGGTAGTAAATGGTGGTGATGCTATTCAAACCAAGAGAGCTTGGACTTGAGTAAACTCAAGCTAAGTCATCTTAGCTTGGCTATGAAACAGTTATAAAATTGTTTAAATCACTTAGGCCATAAAATATGATCCAAGAACAAGAATGAAGTTAGGCAAGTCCTAGGACCATGCTGTACCTCTCAATTAACATGTTGGCTTATAAGTGTGAATTATTTGTTTAATGTTAGTGTTTTAACACAAACTCTTAACAAGATTTGGCATTTTATTTTTAACTTCTATGTTTTACTAATTTAGTATATGAAAATGATGATCAGCTCCTGTGGGACCCTGAGTACTTACCAGAAGATAAAGTGATTGTATTTCTTAAGGATGCATCTAGAAGAACAGGTGATGAGAAAGGTGTAGAAGCAATTCCTGAAGGATCTCACATAAAAGACAATGAACAGGTACATGAGTAAGAAGTAACTTACATTATGGGATAAATGAGTCACAGGGATGAAAGGTACAGTATAGGGAATATAGTCAATAATACTATATGGGGACACTTGTGAGCATAGCACAATGTATACAGTTGTCCAATCACTGTGTTGTACACCTGAAACTAATGTAACATCGTGTGTTCTTCAGTTTAAAAGGAGAAATAACTTACAACTTTCCCCAAGTAAATTAACCATTTACATCTATAGATGCAAATGCTGTCACACTCACTGTTTTTAAGATATCCACCAAAATTCCTATAATGTCATCAATAGGGAATCGGCGATAGCTAAGGTTACTTCATTAGTGTAATTTCAGCTAAAATAAAAATGATACCATTTTGCCTGTATATACTTTTTTTTCAAAATTTTGGAGTTCCTTTGGATATTCCTAAGAGCTTGTGGATATCATCAACTTAGGAATACTATCTGGGATAATGTTTTAGGGATATGGTAGACAAGTTGCCTACAAGTGAACCTAATGACAGCAATTTTTTTTTTTTTTTTACCTTTTTTAAATCAATGCTTTTCTTTTCTCATGTATTTTAAATTAGAATAGGAGCTGCAAAAAGCCAAAAAGAAAGGATTTGTGATTTTTATAAAATAGTTTCTTTTCATTTTTAAATTTCTGAGATATTATGGCTGCCAAGTTAGAGTATTTGCTTACCATTTTCAGTGTATTCAAAAGCGTTAATTAATCAGGATGGAATTTGTTTTTTTTTTTTAATGTTTATTTTTGAGAGAGAGAGAGCGTGAGTGGGGTGGGAGGGAGAGAGAGAAGAGAGAGAGAGGAGAAGCACTGAAGAGGCTCCAGGCTCAAGGCTGTCAGACAGAGCCCAAGTAAGCTAGAACTCACAAACTGTGAGATCATGACCTGAGCCAAAGTCGGATGCTCAACTGACTGAGCCACCCAGGTGCCCAGAATTTGTTTTTCTTCAGTGTTTTCTTTAGAATTCTGTGTTGTATTCACTGGAATTGTCCTCCAGAAATGATGAACACACACGCTGGATTTAGGAAAAGCTTTTACTTTCGTAAGAAATTGTAGCCGTGAATTATTCATACTCTGGGTCACATATTGAAGCCTTTTATTTTTCTAGGCATTATATGAATTGGTTAAATGCAATTTTGACACAGAAGAAGCACTGAGAAGATTAAGATTTAATGTAAAAGCGGCTAGAGGTAAATAATACATTTTTATTTGTTTTCATGACTTAGCAGAAATTTAGAACTTAAGATCTTCAGTCTACATAGGTATATCCTAGGTTTAGTAATACTGACCTTTCTGAATTCAGTATTTGCTGAATAACAAATAACTTGTAACATATCACGTAACTTGTGTCTAACACAAGCATTATGGGAAATGGGATTAAGTCTGGTTCTTTATGGGAAAATAAGGCCATTAAAAAACACATAATGTCTTTTAATTTCAGGGCATTGTTAAAAATACTTTTTATGTATTGATTTTGAGAGAGAGAGAGAGAGCATGCATGCATGCATGCACGCATGCGGGAGGGGCAGAGAGAGAAGGAAGGAGAACATTCCAAGCAGGCTCTGCACTGCCAGGACAGAGCACAACACAGGGCTCAGTTACACAGACCTTGAGATCATGACCTTAGCTGAAGTCAAGAGTCGGATGCTTAACCAGCTGAGCCACCCAGGTGCCCTTGAAGCATTTTTAATAAATATTTTCTTTTTTGATCTTGTTTAATAGCCCTGTGAGCTATGGAATGTGACTGTTAACTTTAATTTCAAACTGTTGAGACTAAGGTCTCTGAATTGAAGTACCTTTGCTGAGGCAAACATAATTTATAAATAATGAAGCCATAATTAAAATCAGTCCAGGTTTTGGGTTTTTTTTTTTTTATTCTAACCGGCTCCCACTCTGCTTCACTAAGAACACTATATATTATCACATAACAAATGGAAGATATTCATTCATTCAACAAAAATTGGAAGGCAAGTTCTGAGGACATCATGAAGTCCCTGCTCTCATGGCGCTTAGAGCCTAGGTGGGAAGCTGAAAAACAGTTATGCGTTCTTCCAAGAATTAGAGGGTTCAATTCAAATTTATTGCAGTAGGACTTGACCTAATTTGGGGAATGGTGAAGCTTGTTAGGGAAAGCTTCTAGAACAAAGTGGTATTTTTGCTGGGATGTAAGCGAATTAGGTGAGAAGGATGAGGCAGGAAATAAGTATAGACAAAGGGAAACAGCACCACAAAGTCTAAAGTTGGAAAGAACATAGTGAATTTAAGGAATTGAAAGGTAGTAGTATAGTTAGATCATAAAGGAGAAAGTGGCCCAAGTTGAAATTGGAGAATTAGGGACCAAATCATCCAAAATTTTATTAAATACAGAGTCTTTGTCACTTTATCTTCTGCAGTCATCGGTAATAGAGCTCAGGAGTAAAATACTTCCTTATTGTTACTAGAAACTTACATTTTTATTTGTAACTGTTCATGTGCATTATTTGGGGGAATATTGCTTTAACAGTTTTCCTACTCTTTTTGTCAGAGGAATTATCTGTTTGGACAGAAGAAGAGTGTAGAAATTTTGAACAAGGGCTAAAGGCCTATGGAAAAGATTTTCATTTGATTCAGGCTAATAAAGTAAGTAATGATATATATGTTCTCTCTTTTATAAAAAGCTAGTTAACCCAGGTCATCTTATATCAATTATTTTCTAATGTTAAACATTCTTTGACGAATGTTTTACTCTGTTAGTTTTTGGGAATTATAAACATGCCTAGGCTTTCTGGCATACATTTACTAAGTGACTGTTGTCAGTGCATGATGTTAGATGACTTTAAGAATTGGACTGATTTACAAATATGTTAATCAACTTTTGTGTAGGATGTGTATATATAATGGAATTGTTTAAAACTATTTTCCATAAACTTGGGACAGATTGTTTTAAAGGAGGGTCTTTAAATTTTTAAACTTTAAAACATTTGTAACATGACATTATTTACAATTAAAATATTTTTTACATTTGTTTAAGTCCCAAGTGTCTAAAATCAGATACTTAATATTTAATTTGGTTTTAATTAAGATTTAATTTTCTAGAAGAGTATCTCAATAAATCAGCTTTATTATACATTATAATTTTATAATTGGACAATTGTATGTAACATGATCCATTTATCATTCCATATTGATAATATCAATAATACAGTGTCCGTGTATACCCAAAAGAACTGCATAATTACTTGTATTGTTTCTGTGGGAAATTAGCATGCACAAAATTAAAATCTCAGTAGTTTAAGTGGAGGAAATTAAGGAATTTCTAGGTTTATACCTAGAAATTTTTTAGCACATATTTTAGCAAATAGAAATGACAAGGACCTTTGCATTACATGTTTCCTTAAAGATAGCATCTAAGTTTTATGTGATGGCTTGTCTAGGATGGTGTTGAAAGTATCTGGGCTTACATGGGCTTAATTTAAGTCTGAGTTCTAAATAGTCTGTCCCCACGTTCTTCTTATACCTCTTAATGTGATTGGGTAGTATCTACTTAATTTGTTTCACTACATATTTAATAGTATATTTTATGTTCTGTAAATAGTTGCTTATAAATCCTGTGAGTTTATTTTTCTTAATTTTGTTGTGCATTAACTTGTTGCATTTTGGTATTTGGCCTCAGACATAAAACTAATAAGAGATACTTTTGAGTTGTAGCATTGGTGTCAAAAATGTATCATATTCCTTAATGTTGTGTCCAGATGAACTGATTACCTCCAGCACAGGGCATATTCTATAAAAGGCATGTATTATGCTAATGAGTAGATATGTATGTTTATGATTGTAAAAAAAAAATAGATTGTTTCGTGGTTGAAAGGGACATTTTGGATATGAGTTTTCCAGCATTCCTGCCTAGATTCAGATCAAACCATGCTGGATTACCTATGGGAGGGGACCCCTGGAATGGTAAGCTGGAATAATAACTAGCAGCAGCGACCCTCCAGAAATCCCTTTTTTAAGAAATAAGAACCTATTAGGTGACTGGAAACTATTAGTCAAAAAAGCCTTTAATGTCATATGGAAAATAAGACCTTTATTTCTTTGTAAGTATTTGGGATGGTGATATTTCTGTGTTCCAGAGGTCAGCTGACCTATCTATACCTAATATACTCTAGTGAACAAAAAAAGAGGACAGTAATTCTTTAAGGAGAAGAATGGTCCAGTGAAAACATTAAGACTTTGTTTTTATTCCTGAAATTGAAGTTTGGATCTTAAACATAAGTTCTTTGTAGGCTTACTTTATTGAAGATTTTTCATAATATTGTTAACTTTGCATGCCCCAAAATACCTTTTCAATTTTTGCTCTCAGTAAAGTACAGTCGACTTGGCTGGTGTCTGTATAGAATTAAGATTCTAAAGGAGGCAAAAAAAAAAAGCTTGAGAAGATGATAAAAACAAAAACAAAAACCTTGATAGCTTTCAGTCTTAGAGCAGCATGGGCCAAACTTGTAAAGTGCAAGCATAGGGGAAGAAAGAAAAATATGTCAGGTAGTGAAATGAGGATGTCATCAAATTGACTTTAGGTGCAGTCAGTCCCACAGGATACTTACTTCAAGATTAGACATTTATGGGTTCAAGCTATATGGTCTTGCATTCCAGCACTTATGCAGATACCTTTTTTCTTTATTTTAAACTCTCAGTACTTTATTACATACATCAACCCTACCAGCTTTGCAAGCTAAGTATTGAAAAGGGGGATGTTGTCCACATCATTTGCCAGTCTCATTGGTGTTGAACATTTATGTAAGGAGAGCCATTCAGTCACATAGGTAGATATAGCACCAGTTACTGGAGTAACTTAGTAAACAAAGAATTAGCATTGGCATTATTATACCTTTCAACTCATTATGGAATATTCTCAGCCTTTCTAGAAAGTAAAATAACTGAGTCTGGATCACCAGTAAGACCTCTAAGAGAATCTTTTAAATGGGAATTTAAAAGTAGACTCCCTAGGTATTCTGTGAGTAAAAGTATACTGTTCATAACATTAATTTTAATTAAATGCCACTTTCAGATATTTTCAATAGAGGAGTATTTATTTGTATAGTAAATTAAGATGCATTTATGTATTTATTTATTTAAATGTTTATTTTTGAGCAAGAGAGAATGAGGTGCAAAGTGCAAAAGCAAGGGAGGAGCAAAGAGAGAGACACAGAATCCGAAGCAGGCCTCAGGCTCTGAGCTATTAGCACAGAGCCTGAAGCGGGGTTTGAACTCACCAAAGTCGGACACTTAACCGACTGAGCCACCCAGGTGCCCCAGATTAAGATGCTTTTAAAAAGCATAATGCTAAATATCTAAAGATTTGTTGCCAGTGTATTATTTCTCTCCATGGGGATTCATAAAGAATAGTTTTAACAAAGCTCCTGCAGTGTTGTATTTTATACGTACAGTATTATATATTACTTAAGGTACAGCTAAATTTTTCACACTTCAGATATTTTTCATGAAATAATTCCTTTAAGGAGGAGATGATTCTTAAAAACAAGTGTTTGTTTCTTATAGGTTCGAACAAGGTCAGTTGGTGAATGTGTAGCATTCTATTATATGTGGAAAAAATCTGAACGTTATGATTTCTTTGCTCAGCAAACGCGATTTGGAAAAAAGAAATATAATCTTCATCCTGGTGTAACGTGAGTTTACTTTTTTCTGTCGAGTCATATATTTTTGCTTTTGGATTTTTCTTGAGAAAATTGTGATTTTTAGAATCTTCCTTTTTCACTAGGATAGGAGTTTACATTAAAGTTATCCATTTACAGATATATCTTCATAGGCCATTTAGACTTCAGTGTCTTATGAAACATAAACTACAATTCATAATATTTGAGACAATAAATACATCAAAGCAAATGTTAAAGTATGTTTTCAGGAGAGAAAACGGATCAGAATAGCTGTTAAAGCATGTTTTAGTTAACTTCTGTTCCATTCGGTATAAGCACATAGTTTTTATCTAATACTGTGAGCACAGTGAGAACAGAAAAGAGACTCTTCAAAAACTGTGGAGCTGAATGCCTCATAGAAGCTCATTAAAGAATGGAAATTAGTATTTTTCCTTGTCTAATCTATTTTTGATCCCAGAAACCAAAATAAGGTTTGGGTATAGATGATATAAAAGGGAAAAGACAGAGAAAATAAATCAGGTCAAATTTCATTTTTTAAATGATTTCATTTTGAAATTTCATTTTCATTTTTGTTACAAAGTGTTCTAAAAAGGAAAGAACATGCGCATGATGACTTCCCTTTTCCCCGATTTCCTGAAACCTTTCCTCTAACAGAAATAGTATATAATAGTCATCCAACTTTAGCTTACTCCCAGTGATACAGGGAGTATGGGTTGTTATTGAATGTAGTCTTTATGCAAAGTGCGTCCGTCATATGTCTGTATCAGTTGCTGTGCACCAAAATCTGAGCCTTATTTAGTCTAGCTTTGGAAAAAACTGTCCTGCTGCCTCTAGGAATTTAAGTACATAGAGTATTGAATGAACCCTTCATCTCACGTGAGTTGTTCTAAAATGCTGATGAATTGGTCAGGTGGATTTAACTTCACCATTCTATCCTTCATTATTTCCTGCTGTTCACAAAATACAAATAATACTCAGTTGTGATTTTATTTGATCAGTGTGCACCAGTAAAGTTCTTAGGGCTGGCCAAATAACTGCCTTTGAAAGATGTGCTTATATGCATATTTGATTGTGCTTTATTTAAACTCTAGGCTGGACTGCTTCTGGTCATGTTCATTTACAGGTGTCTCTGCTGGTCACTTCCCTGGAGGATCACACACTCTAAAAATCCAAAGCAAAATTATCTAAAAGGGAATAATGGGTATGGTTGCCCCTGGACATCATAGGACATTGGACTCTGCCTCATCCCCCATTATTCAAAGCTCACGATGCCTAGAGTGGAATTCCATAAAGAGTATTCCAAATTTAATTGCTTAATGTTATAAATTTATAGTTAATTTTTTTTCTTGATGATTTATTGGTAGTATTGAGGTATAATGACAGAACAAGATATAGCTATGTAGGCTTCAGAGTGTATCTTAAAGTAGTCACAATTTTCAAGCTATTCTGTAGGGAAAAGCCATAGTAACATCTTTCATTTTTTTCACCCATTTCAGAAATATTGTTCACACACGAACTACAGGCAATCTGTCGTCATCAGCAGTAAGAACATAAGAATTGCCTTGCTGGGTCAGACCCATGGTTCATCCCGTTTTCTCTTTCAGAAAGCATCACCAAGGGAAGTGTTGTGGGCTGGCTTAGTTGGTCGTGTGTGCTGTCAAGCTCAACAGGTTAGGTAGGGATGTGCCGCCAAACATTGTAGTTTCTTATTAACAATCTGGCCATAGCTTCTGGAAACTTTTTGAAGATACTTCTGTCTACAACCTTGATTCCTCTTAGGGTTAAGTATCTGTAGGTGGAGTAGCCACAGTTAAAAGTAGTTCCATACCACATCTTTTCTCATGCTTGAAGATTTTACAGTGCCCCCTGGTGTAATGGTATGAAGTGAACATACGTGGTTTTCCCTGTAGGCGAAAATACTATGGTTTTGTAGGCTTTAGTTATGTCCCTTCTGTGTGTTCCATAGTTTTTGGTTTTGTTTTTTCTTTAACTGAACAAACTGTAATTTTTTACTCCTACTTACCCCTTTTAGCTATGTTACATCTTCTATGAGAAGCTATGACCAGACCGTACCTTATTTCCCAAAGGGCAGAAATTGTGGTTTTCTGTAAACATGGAGATTCTTTTCTAGTTTGCTTCCAGGACCTTCTTCTGTTAGTAGTTGCACTTTGAGTGCACAAAACATTATTAGAAATGTGAGTTTTTTTCATCTTTTTAGTCAAAATCCATAGAGCACGTTATCCTGAAAGTCATTTGTTCATTTTTCTGTGACATTTTTACCTCCCAATTTGTTCACCAAAATGAAGTGCATTTGCCACTTTCATGCCTTATAAACCGCCTCTGCAAGATTCTACTGCAGATTCTCTCTACTCACTACCTGGAAGATTTGGTAGCCATATGCAAATTAGAGATTGTATTGCAACAGGCTTGCAAATATTTTTTTTTTTAAGTAAAAACTTAACCCAGCATAACTCTGATTATCTGAATGCTACTCCAGCCTCCTGGGTGGCCCACCTGACTTCTTCCTTAAGCACTATGGATGCCATTAATCTTTAAGAAATAATAGTAATTCTTCTACAATACCATTGTGGTATCCAGTCAACTCTGGCTTCCTTTGCTTGGCTTTTAACATCCTCCATTATCCATTTCCACCATACCAAATTTATTTCCAACAAGTCTTCATCATGTATCATCTGTTCTTATTTAGTCATAGCTTCTGTAATCCCTTTGGCATTCATACTCATTTCTGTTTCTGTGTACTTCCAGTTCGTTACATAATTGTTCTGGAATTATGATGAATGGCATTAAGCTGAAGGGGACTTAAAGACCATCAAATTTATTTCCCTCCATTTATAGAGGAGGAAAATAAGGCCTAGAATGTTAAGTTGATTAGCTTATGGTTACATACATTTCTTTGATATGTGTTTTGTACCTCAGACTGTTGGAAACTTCACATCCCTATATTTATTATATCCCCATAACCTAGGGGACAGTCTGATCATGTAGTTTGATGTTATAACTACAGTTAATAGTCTTTGGTGGACTGTTAACACAGACTTTCAGTAAAATCCTAAGCCTTTTCCACTGTTGCCTTCTCACCCACATGCTTACTTGCTCAGAAATTCTAAAGATTTGTCTTAATATTCCTATTATAATTATTGTGAGGAATTTTTTAAATAATGACTTCTAAGTTTTTTTTGAGCTTCTACTCTGTGCTATGCACAACTTAGGCCAGGTGGTACAGTGATGACAAAAAGACTAAAATTCCTGCCTTTAGGGAATTAGTTAAGTGCAGGTATCAGCACACTTTCTCTGTAAAGAGCTACAGAGTAAGTACTTTAGGCTTTGCAGGCCTTAAATTCTCTGGCAACTACCCAGCTCTGCTCTTGTACAAAAGCAATCTTAGATACTATGCAAATGAGTGGGTGTGGCTGTGTTCCATCAAATGTTATTCACAAAACCTGTGGCCTGCCCATGGGCCACAGTTTGCAGACCTTTATTCTGGTGACTTAATAGCACTTCATAGTTTACAAAACACTTTCCTACACATACCTTTTGCAACAGCCCTGTGTGGTAGACACATACATGATTTTATATAGGTAAAGACACTAAACTTTCAGAGATGAGTGTTTAGCTCAGATCTTGTAACCCCAACCCAAAGTCACTTAGTACAGACAGCTCTTCTCCCATCCCATGTAGTTCAGGAACGACCTAGGGAAGAAGTGAGCACACCTCTAATGATATATTGGTAGACAAAGGCAGCACATAAGCCAAGGAATTTAGGGAGCTTTTTGTAGCTCAGATTTAGCAGGAAGATAATATACGAAATACCCAGGAAAGTTCAGGGAAATGATTCATTGGTAGGCCCTAATTTGGCTTTGAGATATTGCTGTAGCCATCACAGCGTCTTGAGGAGCTTTAAAATTGCAATCGGTGTTTGTTCAGAAATTATTTTGTACTCCCTCTGATTGGCATCATCCCTGTCTCTTCACTTACAGATCCTCTGATTTTAGTTGGGCCACTCTGAGCACTTGCTTGTAGTTTTAAAACTTCCTATAGGTCTCTAAAATTTGCTAGTTTAAAAGCCTTTATGCATTTTCCCAACAAACATAACCAAAGGAGCTTTCCATTTAAATGTTCAGATCCTGGTGGGATAGATGAGGCAATGGAATGAATGTAAGTGAAAATTAGGACATATTTGCTAATAAAGCCTTCTAAATTTAACCTCAGTTTTAGTTTTCAGCTTTTTTAAATATAAGAAGGTGATTGTTTCATTATTTCACTTTATTTTAAGGGATTACATGGACCGTCTTCTAGATGAAAGTGAAAGTGCTGCTTCTAGTCGAGCACCATCCCCTCCCCCAACTGCCTCAAACAGTAGTAACAGCCAGTCTGAGAAAGAAGACGGCACTATAAGCAATAGTAATCAGAATGGTAAGCAACCAAAGAAACTCTTCTGTTTGTTCCTAATGAAGGGCACTTGTCTTTAGTAGCATGGGCAATTCAGTTTTGGTTTGGATTAAACTTCCAAAGCAGAAGTTAAAAATAATAATTGTCAGTACCCATGGCACATACATACATAAGCTTAATAAGAATATACTATCAATAGTGACCATTTCTTCTTAGAAATTTATTCTTGAGTAGCATGTATTTTCTTAGTCGGGATGCTTGGATAGAAACACTCTTGTTAACTCTTAGACCACAACTCCAGCACCATTTCACATCAGAAGTACATAGATATTTATGAAATACTTTGAGAGCCGTAACACTTTATCAGAAAAGTGCTTAAAGCATTTGGTGAAAAGTAGTAGATAACAAGGGCTTGAATAGTTTTTTTCTTTGCTAGTGTAATATCCTTGAAGGATGAGAAAAGATAAAGCAGGTGTCAGGCTCTGCATTAATACTCTACAGAAACGTAGAGTACTCTACAGAAACCTAGATAAATATAGGATATTTATATTATTTTTTTATATTTATATTTATATTATCCTATATTTATCTCTGTGAGAAAGAAGTAAATGGCATTCCATTTTGTTTAAGGTTCAGGTAACGTTCTTGTTTAAAATGTATAATGGACCAAAGATCACTGTGTTAGTAAGACCTAGTCAGAAAATTATTTTGACTTCTACTTTAATTAAAATGGTCTTCCTAAGTAAGACAAGCCTTCCACTCCTCTTAAGGAGGAAACGGGTGAATTAGAGACAAGCTCTGCACACCTGTATTCTGATGTAACAGTCTTAGGGGAGGGCCAGGGAGAGTTGACCTCACGACAGAAACTAGAAGAGGAACACTGTGAGAGACTGTCCCTTATTCTGACCTTTGGTCTCACACTGGCACCGCTGGAGCAAATATATTTTGTTCATTTAATGACCCCTCTCTGTTCCCTCACTGCTTCCCCCTAAGAACAAGTCATACAAACAGAAAAGAGGGCCCGGCAGCCATTTCCTGGTCTAAAAAGGTCGATGACGTGTTGTCTAATGCTATCCTGAGGTAGAGTAAAAAGCTAAAACTCTGATCTTAGGACTGGGGGATAGAAGCTCAGGGATGCAAATAGTTGATACTACTTTGGTCTTTCCCTGTTTGCTCATAACACCAAATAAATTTTCCTTTTTTTTTCCCCCCTTTTTTAACCATTTGATGAAAACATGCAGTTTGACCTAAGAAGCTGTATATAAATTAAGTTATTCAGTAGCCCAGAAGCCATTTACCTAGGTACCCACAATCGAGATTCCTAGGTTTTCAAGGAAAGGATGGATTTCGCCAATTCAGTTTTCTTTCTTTTGTAAGGGGCTTAGTGTCTTGAAATCTCATTTTTCACCTACTCACAGTGGTCACTTAGCTCTTTGTGCTTTACTGTAACAGAATGGTTCCTTCTGCATCATGGTGCATAACATCCCCGTATCCATGTATGGGTTGAGTGCACTTTTGAGTTGGGGAAATAGAATATTTTCTTGGACCAAATATAATATTTGAAACTCATCCTTTATACTGAATATTTTTCAGATAATTAAAAGTTAATTCTCTCCTGTGGCGCATTCTGTATTTTACATTAAATGTCTGTCTCCACAATGTCTACTCCATTTTGCAGTCAACTGTAACATGCCCTTTTCACTGTTACTTTTATCAGAATAATTATTCTCCTCTTACCTACTATGGAGACATTTGTGTTTGCTTTCATCATTTTCAAATGTACGTTTGGACAGTGCCAGCATTACTTTTTTAACATAGTGGCAGATTATTTAAATCTATTTAGATAAATATGTAATCTTTACCTTTAAAACACAGTACCCATGGGTTTATTTACATTAAGAATGAAAAAGTCTTGTCATTTTATACGGCAGTAGAAAACTCGAGCTTCTAAGGAATGTAAAATTTTTTTTACATAGTATTAGAAAGTTATAACCATTTTGCTAAGTCTAATAATTTGTGCATTCTTTGCTTTAATTTATCTTATTAGACTGCTGGACCCAGTGCTTATTTGTGGTCACATTATACCAACATGCTTCTAATATATGCCAGATTCTATTACTTCTTTATGTTTATAACTTAATCTTCACAACAACCCTGTAAGGTAAATCTCTTACTACCCTCATTGTACATGTGATGAAACTGAGGTACACAGAACGTAAATAACTTTTGCCAAAGGTTACACAGTTACTAAGTAAATAGAGCCAGCATTCAGACTGTATATATACATAGATTTGGTATCTCTCATCCTTGATGAAAAGCTATTCCATAATAGCTGTTTCTGAATAGTTTACAAATTTAGCTTTTTAATACTAGCAGTTTCACTTACGTTTCTTCCAACGTAGGGGTGTCATCTAATGGACCAGGTGAAATGTTGAACAAAGAAGAAATAAAAGCTGAAGGGTTACATGTGAATGGACCAACAGGTGGAAATAAGAAACCACTTCATGCAGACGTGGATACTAATGGTTATGAAACAGATAACCTTACCACTGACCCAAAACTTGCCCATATGACTGCAAGAAATGAAAATGATTTTGATGAAAAAAGTGAGAGACCTGCCAAAAGGCGAAGGGTAAACAGCAGTGGAAAAGAAAGTCCAGGTTCTTCTGAATTTTTCCAGGAAGCAGTGTCACATGGAAAATTTGAAGAACTTGAAAACACGGATGACTAAATTTTAGACTTATTTTACTTTCTTTGGAGTAAAATCTGGTGTGACTAAAATTTTCAGGGTTGATGGGTTACCTTAAAAAGTTGATTTCCTTGAAGCAGTTGGTTAAATTTGAAATGAGTCCTGATTTTAGTAAGATTTCATAATTCTGCCCTTTGTAGTCTTTTTACTTTAAAAGTGTAAAGACCCTGTTAAGGCTATAACGAATAGTTTAGTAAATTTGAATGAACTATGGAAATATCTGTACCTTCTCATTTGATGTGTTAATCTTAAAAGCTCACTACCGGTACTTTTTGCTTAGTTTGATGGCAGAGAAGAAAAAACCAAGTTCTGATTTCTGTTGAACACCAGTATTTCTGAGTTTCTTGAAATGTCTTCTTTTTTTAAGACATTTTCTCTCCATACAAATTGAGTGTCATTATTAAGGAAACCCTTATGAATCCTGAAAGTTATGCTAGCATGATTTTTTATATATAGAAGTTTAAAAATAAACCAAGTCAGGTTTGTATATGTAAAATTGTTGACATCAATGATGTCTTTCCATATTCTTATCTGGGCTTAAGAAATACATTCTGTATTTTTCCAGATTCTTTGTAGCCTTTGAAAGATTTTTACAGTACATATGTCTTGACTGAGCTGTCCTTTCTTAATACAAAAGCTTGTATAATTTTCTTAACTTGTACAGTTGGTAAACTTTTATGAGAGGAATTGATATTCTGAGTCTGTCAGCTTTCATTTTATTTTGCTAAGGTTTTTCTAATGAATTTTTAAGTGTTTGTGTAGTAACTAAGTCATGTTTCTTATACAGGTGGTAAAAGCATTCATAAAGGATTGTGAAAATTTGTTTTTTCAAATTTCTACTTAAGGACAAATAGTTTGAGAATTCTGAAATTAAGCATGATACCTTGATCGCATAGTTTGTTTTGCGTTTGCTATAATTTTCAAAATTATTTTTGAAGCAAGACAAAAGTTTAATGTTAGCTTAAGTGCTTAAATGTATCATGCTGACCAGAATCCTGTTCAATTATTTTTATATGCATTATAAAATTTCCCATTTTTGCATTAACTAAACAGGGGAAAAGGTCAAGCAATATTTAGATATTGGCACACACAAGGAGTTGGCAGATAACAATATTGATTTTATGTGGAAAAAGTGATGAAGTTGAGTGTATTTCCAAAATGAAGATAAGATGAATAACCATTGCTCTGTGTGATTACAAATAGGATCATCTATTTGCATAGCCTTTCAAGAGTGCCATTTTATTTTTAGTGCAAAATTCTTGTTAAAAATGTAGTTTTATACAGCTGATAGACCAACCTATATCCAAACTTTTATAAAAGATTATTAACTATTCTTGTTTTTTTCACACAGGCATACCCCAAATGCTTCTACCAATTCATTTTCAGCCATCAGTTCAAGAGCCAATGCCTTTTTAAAATAAATCTTCTGTGGTCTTGTTTTTAATGGCTCAACTGTTTAATACAATTGAGTAAAGGTTTGCACTGAGAAATTATGGTTTAGGCCTTACCCCCATGAAGTATTACTATTAACATATGTTCAGAACTGCTTCCTTCCACCAATGTGAACAACTCTTTTCCCCAAACAGTGTTAAAAAGCCACTTGACAACACTTGACTTCATATAATGTACGTTCACTGTTACTACATACATATCCAAGTAAATCAGAGTTTTGGGTGGAACTGTTGAGAAGCCTGAACTTTTTGTTTTTGTTTTGTTTTACCCTACAACATTTAATTTATCCAGAATGGCAGCTTTAGCAGATGGTCACAATCCATTTTCTAAATCAGTTTTTATTACACAAATCCAAAGTATCCTAGCTCCTAGCTCTTTGTCAAAGATGGTCTATAGACGTGTTTCAAATGAATAGTGACGCTGTACTTTTTAAGTTGTTGCAATATTAGAGACGCTGTTTTCACCTTTTTTTAAAGATGCATTTTGTTTGCAGGTTTGTGAAGTTCTTGGAAACTACAGGAACATTTTTATTAAATTCTCAGGCATGTTTGCAAATATGGCACATGTATACATGTTAGGAAATTTTACTTTTCTTAATCTTACCTTTTTAAAGTATACCTAATAAAAAGACATTCCACTACTATAATACATAATGCTCAGCCTTTCATGAAGAAATATGAATTGTATTTTGTGTTTATACAGGTATTTCACAGTACTTTGTTCTTCATAATGCAGCCACTATAACTTGATAAGTCATTGCACTACTTTAAAGTTTTTAGTAATATCATGAATTTAATTTGCTTTAAGATTTAGTACATTTCATAACTCTTGAACTCTTAAACTGCATTGGGAAAAGAAGACTTTGGTAATAGTTTTCCCCCACCCCATACCCACCCTCAGCAAAGCACTATCATTTTCATTTGAAATGGTATTCTGTTTTATGATGTGTTTTCAAATGGAGTTCAGAATCTGCAACTCAGTTCAACATAAATCTGTTGAGCTTTAAAATGTATTTGAATATTTAAATAGGCATTTAAAATTATGAATTAGATGTTTTTAAATTTATGCATAGTAATTTTGCACTGTAAAATAATTCCCTTTTCCCATTCCCTGTCTGCCATTCTGAATATGCTTATTAAAATATTTTTTTAAACATATTTGTCTACATAATGCCGTGTGAATGATTTTCATTAGATTGATTCACTAGGTTTTAATTACAGATTTAAGTGTATATAATACATACTGTTTACAATGCAAAATATGTATAATCTCTGGCCGTCCTTCTCCTAGATCTCTCACATGAACTAGTGTTTGAGTGGCTTCTGGTCCCTTTGACCTCATCTTAGATGATGTATTTTTGTCTTTTTTTTCCTCCAAGGGGCTCTTTTGGTTTGCAGACCTTTATTCACCCACCTTCCTCTAAACTATGTAATTAGAAATTTACCCCATCTTTTGTAGTGCAGTTCGTATCACATAATATTTTTCAAAAAACTTCTGTCACAATATTTACTTTTTTCTAAATGGAAAATTAAGAGTGGGCATTTTTAATAAGTGAGGGTCGGTGAGTTTCCATAGGCAAGGTGTATGCTGATGACTCTAGAGGTGTGTAACTGGCTCTGTATCACTACTTAAATGCCAAAACAGAAATAAAAAGTTTCCCACACGTAATCCATATTCATGAAAATTGCCAGTGTGGAAAGTCATATGGGGAAGAATAAGAATTTTCCAAATTGTAAACCTTTTGTTCTTTTTAAAAATAACTTTTTCTGTATTCTATGATTCCACTATTTAAAATTTTTAATCATAAAATCAACTCTTCAATAATCAAGTTTAATCCTTTGCAAAGTCTTACAAGTCATGGGCTGATGGATTAGCCTCATTTTCCAATAATAGCAGTTTTCATAACCTCATTTATTATGTACTATTAGGTACCGAGCTGACATCTTTTGACATCTGTAAGTACATGAGTTTTTCCTTTTCTGACCATGATCATTTTTTTTTTTATTTTCACTTGTGTTTATACTAGCTCCTATGACTTATTTAGGATGTATGATATATTCAAAATGTCATTTTGCTTGCTCGAAGACCTCTGAACACCATCTTAAAGGCAACCTAGTCTGTGAAGGACACTGAGGAAACTGCCATGGAGCTGAACTCCCAGTTCTCCTTTGTGCCAACTGATAGGAAAGGCTTCTTCACATTTAAATGTCAACAGTGACAAGTTTGCTTGTATCGTCTTCTCCGGCAAATATCTGGGCCTATACTTGTACCAGCTACAAGGCTTGGCTTGTGGCTTCAGATAACGTGTGGCATGTTTTCTTTTTCAAAGAGAAGGCATTCATTAGTAGTGGTAGAAGTGTATGCTGAGCACAGAGCATGCAAAAGGAAGAAACAGGCATGATCTCAGGGAAACAGTTTACCAGACTCTGTGCCAGAGAATTCTAGCTAAGATTGTCCTTGAGCTTAATGCTTCTGTTAGAAATGAAGCAACAGTAAATCTACATACAGTTCCGCTAAGAAAGACCACTTATTTTTAACTGTAACATAACAGCTGTGGATTATTCAGGACTTCCCCCTTTTGTCACTGTCCACTGAGTACTACTACTACAAGAGTAGGGAGTCTCCTGACCTCCTAAAGTTTGGGAAAAGTCAGAGAGGCCTAATGCACATTTGACTTGGTTATAAAGCAAATACACTTTCTAATATTCTCGTTAACATGAATGGTTGACTGTGGAGTTGGCTAAATCTGTCTTTCTGCACACCAGCTAGAACTTGCTTGTAGAGTTCAGGTAGTTGTAAAATACATGGTTTTACTCTTTTCTCTCTGAAAGACGATGGACTTTGGATTAAGGACTATACACTTAAAACTTTGTATAAAGAGAACAAGAGGAGATAGGGACCCTGAAATGATTTCTCTCAGAACTGTAAGAGATCAAGCAGCGAGAGTGGCATCAGACTAACCTGAGCCACTGTAAATTGCTGACCAGAAAGAAAATCCAGATTTCGTGAAAGAGCTTGCTCCAAAATGGGGCTTTTCAATACTTTTTCCTCCCTTGTCAGCTAGCTATGCTTCAGCTGAGTGAACATGAGAGACCTGGCTGTGAGCTAAGAGTAGTACCAGTCATTCTGAGTATGAATACACCAGTAGTTCCCTTTGAACATAGTTTGTGGTTGATGGAAATTTATTCGGAGGACGTGGTTCTGAGCTTCCAAATAGCCTGAATTATGAGCTTCATGAACTGCTTTGCCTCGTGGCCTCTCTACTACGTCACTGTCTGTATTTGCCCTCCGGTGTTTAGTAGACAGGCATTTGCATTTAAAAGTAGCATTGGGGCGCCTGGGTGGCGCAGTCGGTTAAGCGTCCGACTTCAGCCAGGTCACGATCTCGCGGTCCGGGAGTTCGAGCCCCGCGTCAGGCTCTGGGCTGATGGCTCGGAGCCTGGAGCCTGTTTCCGATTCTGTGTCTCCCTCTCTCTCTGCCCCTCCCCCGTTCATGCTCTGTCTCTCTCTGTCCCAAAAATAAATAAACG